ATTTTTTCTATTCAGTTTGATTTATCTAATAGGCAACTTGATATATTTTGCTTATATAAACCTTCTCTAAATTTTATGAAAACGTTAATACTAAAGGGATTGCCTTTTTTAAACCTATTGGCAAAGGAGAGATTTTCAAAGATTATAATGACAATTAGATTATGAGGTTTGACAAGAATATAGGCATTACTAATAGAATAAGTGTTAAACTTTAAGATATAAAAGATAACCTTCAACTTTATTGTTGTCAAGGGGTTTTCTAAAATTAAGATTGAGTTTAACTCTTTTTATGATATTTAATTATTGCTTACCAATATCTCTAACATTTTAAATTGCTAAGAACTCATGAAGAATTTTATTCTAATTCAACACTGCAACATGTGTCAATAGGGATAGCCATATGTGTACTAACCAACTTCCAAAGAAGGGAATATCACTTCATTTAACTTTTGTTGTTTTTGATAAATGTCTATCTCTTGTGGTTACATTTTATTTTGCTTATATACTAGGGGTTCACTTCCTCAAACCACCCTAATGAACTCTCTTTTATTGTACTAAAATAATTTTGTCATTTTTTTCTCAAAAAGAAGAAAAAAAAAAGTAATAACTTCTTTTTTTTCAAAACATTAGTATTCCTCATTTCTATTTCAAATGTTTAATTAATAGTATGTTTGCATTGGGGGGAAGGAGAGGGGAAGACTTTTTAACCAATCAAATTATAACATTTAAATGTTATAATTTGATTAGTTAAAAAGTCCTCCCCTCTCCTCTTTAAATCACCTAGATCGAAATCTGTCATTGATCTAACAACTTTTCGGAGCCAAAGTCTATAAGCTTTTAAAAATTCAAATTCAAGTTATTAGTAATGGTTGATTTTCACAATTATATATCAAGTTTACTCAGAAATCCTCATCGATATTAGATGCGGGCCATTACAACTCTATTTCCCAAACATATTATAAGTTGTTTCTTTTCTTTATTTTCGATATTATAGAAATATTCTTATTTGTATAAAAATATAAATGATACTCTAAATTAATGCATGAAAATAAACATAAGTTTAGATAAAAAGTTTTTTTTTTCATAATTTTTTTATTAAAAAACATTGATATATATTAAAAAATTATACAAATATATTTAATAAATATTTTTAATTTATATTTAATTTTTAAAAATAAATAATATCTTATATAAAAATTAAAAATATAACTTATTTCATTATATGTCCCTGTGCGAGGACACCGAGTACTATCTAGTAACTGTTAAAGTGACAAATCGTATTCTTTAACTAAATAATAAATTATTTCAAAAGCTCAAGCATTTTCTTGATTGGATAAAATTCATTAAATTGCGCTCATATGCTTTTCAGAGTTAAAGAAATTCTTTAAATGATTAATTTATTGGTTAACGTAATCTATACTATATATATAGTTTAAAATTTTTAATTGTTTGTTTACACTAAATATAATATTTATTAATAATTTAATACAGCACGTGGCCTGCAAATATTGAAGCTGAGTTTCCATTTAGCACTGTGATGCGGATAGGCCCTATGAGCGGCTACCGATGATGAAAACAGGACTCAATTGGACCAATGTTTTGGCATCTGCGGATGAAGTACCGGACCTGTAATGTGCAATTTAGTAGGGATCACATCTCTAACTACTTTCTAAAATTATATAATTATAATTAATGTTTTGTGGTTTTTTTGTAATTGTATAATTATAATGTATCATTATATAATTAATTCTTTATATTTAAAAAATCATTTGTAATATTAGATATATTCACGTATTTTATGATATATTATAATTACAAGTAGAGGTGTTCATATTGTTTCAATCTGATTAATTCAACTTAACCTGATTCAATATAGTTAAAAATCAAACTAAATTGATATAAAATTATATTGGTTTGAATTATAAAAATTTAAAATCGATGTAATTAGTTTAATTTTTTTTTAAACTGGTAAAACCACTCAATTACAAGACAAAGTCTAATTATATGATAACTTAATTAAATAATAAAAAATTTTGTAATATTTTAAATTTTCTTTTTCTTGTTTCACAAGATAATAACTTTATTAATTTAATTAAAAGATAAAAATAAAATATCTTGTATTCCCTAATTTATTTTTCTTTTTTTTTTTAATCATATACTTTAATCTTAATTTTAAATTTCTTATTCACCTATAATTCTACCCCTTATAAATGGGTTTTGGCTCTATTCTTAAAACTCTACCTTCTTGAGTGGCATCCGCTTGTCATGGTTGCCATCTTCATTTTGCTGAGTTAATTTGTGGCGTGCGCTTGCCATGGTTGCCAACTTCATTTTGCTGCATTAATTTGTGGTAAGTATTGTGTTCAGTGGCTTTCTTGGTAATATCTAGGTAATATAACTTTTCATATTGATTATTCCTCCGTTTTCACTTTAATAGATTAGTACAATTATTGTATTGTTTTTCGACAAAGATGCCTTCCCTCCATATTTGCAACATTAACAGATTCTCTAGTCATGAAATTCCTGAATTGGAAACCATTACTCAAAGATTCTTAGCACGAAATTCAGGAAGCCTTAAATATTCTTGAAAGCTCTAGGTCTATAGATGGAGAACAACTCCTGCGTGTTTCTTTTTGCTTCCTGAAAAACATGTATGTTATAATATATATTTATCAAATTAGCAGTTTAATTATATGAAAAGAATAGTGTATTTAATTATAAATAGCAGTACCACTTGCATTTTATTTCTAATAATAAATTTTATTTTATTGATAAAAAAATTATATGAAAAGAACATATTAACTAAAATTAACATCGTATCTTTTCTTTACTGTCTTATTCTTGCAACCAAAACTTTAGAAATTCCTCAAACCAAACTGGAATCTAATAAAAAAAAAAAAAGGATGGATAGCTTTAGGCTAACATATTATTTATTCTTCACTACCTTTTAATAAACAAAAGTTGCAATGTTTTCTTGTGCTAGGTCCTTTAGTATGTTGGCTTGGGTATTTTGGCTCATATAAAGTTAGGTACGGGGGAGCTTTAAGTGAGTTATGTTAATTTAGGTAAATTATTTGCCACTTCTTTTTAATTAATCTTTTCTAGAATTTGAAATGGTTGATCTGGTAGCAGTCAACACGGTCATTAACCTTCACTTCTTGACTTTTATTTATAACTGTAGTATAATCTGTCAAATTTGCAGTGCAAGATTTAAATAAAACTAATCTTGATTTTTTACTATTTTAGGATGTTTGGTCGAAAAACTTTAAATTTTGATTATAAATGCTTTTAATCAATCCTTGTAATATTTATTTTAAATTTTATTCACTTTTAATAAGGTTTGAAAGATGAGACCGTGTTATTGATGCATTAAAAAAAATAGTTTTAATCATTAAAAATCACTTTGACTGTGCTTGAAATTTGGATTCAACTTTTATTATTTTTAGTGCCTCTAGTAATGTAACCAGTAAAAATTGAAAGACATTTTCAATTTTTACAAGTATAAAAGAGTATAAAAATTTATTTATAATTTATGTTTTTTTTAATTATATTTTTACTAATTCGAATATTAATGTGTTTTATATTTATGTTTTTTTACTTAATATTAAAATTTTTTTATGTTACCTTATATATTTAATAATATTAAAAACTACTCAATCCAATCAAACTATACCAATCCAATTTAAGTTGAATTAATTTGATTATCATATAACAGTAAATTGAATTAATTTAAAAATTTTACTAATAAATTAAATTGAATTAGATTAAAAATTATTAAAATCTGAATTAAACCATACCACAAGTACTCCTAATTATAAAATTTAAATCTTACTTAATATTGTAAATATAACATTATTGAGTCCCTTAGTATTTTCACTAGATAAACTTCCAAGGTAAGATTTTGCACGGCGAGGCTTGTCCGCCGAAAACTACTTTGAATGAAAGAACAACTTACTTAATTTGTTGAACAAACAAAAATGACTCAGAATTCAAACTCCCATTAATTGATAAGTTGTGACTTGGGATCATACAATTATTACAATATATGGATCGGCTAGTTAGGTATAGGCACAACTTCTAGTGTAAGAATTTTTAGAAATGCTAGATCCAGTTTCATCAAAACTAGTTGATACCCGAGTAATGCCTTGTGTCGTGAAATGCCAATTATATATATATACATATATATATATAATATAAAATTGATATATTAGTAAAAATTTTTAATAAGATTAGATTATATTACCAGAATTGCATGCATAATGTCCATATAAAAAATATGCGTAATGATTTAAAAAATTGAAATTCAAGAAGTGGTACAATGTATATAAGAAAATATAAATATAGTTAGCTAACAGAGTTATTTTCTTATACACATTTATTAAAAGAATACTTTTAACATGTATTTCAATGACACAAACTAAAAAAACCCATATTATATTTAGTGCAAATAAATAATTAAAAATTTTTAAATGTATATATATATAATATAGATTATATTAACCAATAAACTCATTATTTAAAGATTTTCTTTAACTCTAAAAAGTATATGAGTTGAATTTAATATAAGTTTATCAAGTGAATATTAATCAAGTCACTTAACAACATTATACTTACAATACTAAGAAAGATTTTAATCTTATAATTACAATATATTAATAAATATATGAATTTATATGAATAAATGAAAATGTTCTAATGACCCAGTGATTACTATTTTCTTCTCAAGGGTTTTTCACATAAACTTGAAGGTGTGAGTTTGAGTTTCATCCTCAATATTTAAATATATATATAAATATATATATGATATTATAATTAAGAAAATTTTATTAAATAAAAAGAATTAATTGTATAATAATATATTATAATTATAAACTTACAAAAAAAAACCACAAAACATTAATTATAATTATATCATTTTAGAAAGCAGTTAGAACTGCAATAAACTACATGTCACTTCATCCGCATATGCCTAAACATTGGTCCAATTGAGTCCAGTTTTCATCATCAGTAGCTGCTTATAAGGCCTGTATATCCGCATCACAGTGCTAAACAGAAACTCAGCTTCAATGGTTGGGTACACAGACATACTAGTAGCATTTCTCTCCATTCTTTTTCTTTTCTACTTGAGATGGAACAAAAATGTTCCTGTTAGAAATTGGCCTGTGGTTGGGATGTTACCAGCGCTTCTTCACAACAGAGATCGAATCAACGATTATGGCACTCAAGTTTTGGAACAGGGTAAGGGCACTTTTTTGTTCAAAGGACCTTGGTTTGCTAACATGAACTTTGTTGTGACAAGTGATTATAGGAACGTGCACCACATCATGAGCAAAAAATTTGACAACTACCATAAGGGACCGGAGTTCAGGGAGATATTCGAACCCCTGGGAGATAGCATTTTCAATTCTGACGGAGACCGGTGGAAAAGCCAACAGAAACTGCACCACTCATTGATAAAAAACAGCAAGTTTAAGTTGGTAGTGCAGAAAATTCTCAAACAAAAAATCTATGAGGGCCTGATCCCAGTTCTTGAAAGTTGCTCTGAGCTAGGATCTGTGTTTGACATGCAAGATGTGCTCCACCGCCTTATGTTCGATAACTTTTGTCTGCTGGTTCTTGGATTCGACCCAAATTGCCTTTCTCTTGAACTCCCTGAAGTTTCATATGAAAAGGCATTTGACGAGATGGAGCAAGGTGTTTTTTATCGCTATATTGTTCCAAGAAGCATTTGGAAGCTGCAAAAATGGTTGCGCCTGGGACAAGAAAAGAAGATGAGAAAAGCTTTGGGAACCTTTGGCAAGTTCTTACATGAGCAGATTTTGCTGAAGCATGAAAATTTAAGCAGAAAAAATGCAGATGAGGAAGAAGAATTTGACTTACTAACAGCTTTCATGTTAGGGGAATATGGTGTAAAATCTGACAGATATCTAAGAGACACTGCCCTTACTCTCTTGGCAGCGGGAAGAGACACCATAGCTGCAGCTATGACTTGGTTCATCTGGCTTGTTGCTACACATCCATCTGTTGAAGAGAAGATCTTAGAAGAGATCGAAGTGAATAATTTGCATGGAAATGAAGATGGTGAGTGGAAGATTTACAGTGCAGAAGAGATGAGCAAGCTAGTTTATCTCCATGGAACTGTATGCGAGGCCTTAAGGCTGTACCCACCAGTACCAGTTGTGCCGAGAGCATCAATTCAGCCCGACGTTCTTCCAAGCGGTCATCATGTTAGTAGAAATACCAAGATATTTGTGTCTGTATATTCAATGGGAAGATCTAAAGAAATATGGGGTGAAGATTGCTTGGAGTTCAAACCCAAAAGGTGGATTTCTGAGCAAGGAGGCATTGTATACACACCATCTTACAAGTTCATGCCTTTTCTTGCAGGACCCAGGACTTGTCTGGGCAAAGACACATCTTTCTACCAAATAAAAATTATTGCTATGGCCATTATCCAGAATTATCATGTTGAAGTGTTGGAAAATCATCCTGTGGCTCCAAGTCCTTCTATGGTACTCACAATGCAGAATGGTTTGCATGTTAGAGTGAGCAAAAGGCACCACTGAAGAAGACAAATTTATCCCCCTACGAAGTTCTTACGAAATATGAAGGCTCATGAATACGTATCCACATCTCTGTACTATGTCAAATGTTATTTATTTATTTTTCCAAATGCTATGCCTAATGTTGGATTAGAGGTATATGTAAGACATGTATCTTACGAATATCTTTTCTTAGTACCAGCAATAAAGTTGTTGTCTAAATCTGTTCTTATCAATATATGGTAAATG